AATGAGATCCGATTTTATGGAAACAGGCACATCACAAAATAATTATCCCTTTAATGACTTTTCGATCACGTGGCCGTGGAATTGTTGGTGCCTTAATGGGATTCAATTTTACGGCAGATTTTTCGTGATTAATGACTTTTCTATCATGCCGCTTTAATGGGATTCGATTTTTAGGAAATTTTTCTATGATGCAAGGCCTCAAGATAAATAGCCAAAAAATGTTGTGGTAGCCAGGAATTGAACCCACAACCTCATGTGCCGATCACGTGGCCGTTGAATTGTTGGTGCCTTAATGGGATTCAATTTTACGGCAGATTTTTCGTGATTAATGACTTTTCTATCATGCCGCTTTAATGGGATTCGATTTTGTAGGAAATTTTTCTATGATGCAAGGCCTCAAGATAAATAGCCAAAAATTGTTGTGGTAGCCAGGAATTGAACCCACAACCTCATGTGCCAATCAAACAACAACAACCAACTAGGGTAGATCAATTTGTTGGTTTGTTAGAAGATACACTACTTATACCTTCTTAATACGAGTTTCTAAAAGAAATTGAATCAACAGTCTTATCGGTCCCAATTACTTTAAGTTTTGCATCCAAGTTCGATCATTTTCTTGCAAGTTTCATACCACTTCACATATTTCAAAAAAGTTTCTCAAACATTTTTCGGTAAGTTCTATGTAAATAGCAGGGTAATTTATGCGTCATGGATCTGATAACTTATGTACATACATCATGATAACTTTGACCTAGGAAAAAAGTTTGTTGAAACAACCCGATAACTTCAGTGTAAGTTGCGTGATAATTTACATACCACCGACCTAGTAAATTACATACGAACACCATGATAAGTTTGACCCTGGAGTTTTTTTGTTAAAACATAGGTATATGTAAACAACGAACGTTCCAGTTTTTAGTCATATGTACATGATTTTTCACACCATATTTTTTCATTGAAACATATCCCCGATAATTTTTGTGATAATATAGGCTTCTAGACTTGATAACTTTAGTTCAAACACCACGATAACTTTGACCCCGTGGATAAAAGTTGTTGAAAAGATACCATCGATAACTTTTTTGTAAATAGCATGATAATATACACTCCCGGACTTGATAATTTATGCATAAACACCATGGTAACTTTGACCCATGGAAAAAAGTTGTTAAAAAACATACTCCGGTAACATCTATATAAATTACATGGTAATATAAGCTTCTAGACCTAATAACTTAGAAACAAATAGTACGATAACTTTGACCCTTGATTTTTTTGTTGAAAACATACTCTGATATTTTTTGTCTAAATAGCATGATAGTATAGGCTCTCAGTCCTGATAACTTAGGTACAAACACCACAATAACTTTGACCCGTGAATTTGTTTTGTTGAAAACATACCACTAATAACTTTTCGTGTAAATAACATGATACTATATGCTCTCGGACATGATAACTTAGGTACAAACACCACGATAACTTTAACCCGTGAAAAAAAGTTGTTGAAAACATACTTCGGTAGGATCTGTGTAAATAACATGGTAATATAGGCTCCTGGACCGATAACTTAGGTACAGACACCACGATAACTTTGACCGGTGAAAAAAAGTTGTTGAAAACATACTCTAATAATTTTTGTGTGTAAATAGCATGATAATTTAGGCTCTCAGTCCTGATAACATAGGTACAAACACCACGATAACTTTGACCCATGAAAAAAGTTATTAAAAACATACTCCGGTAGGATCTGTGTAAATAACATGGTAATATAGACTCCTGGACCTGATAACTTAGGTACAAACACCACGATAACTTTGACCGGTGAAAAACATTTGTTGAAAACATACTCTGATAACAAATAGTATGATAATTTAGGCTATCGGTCCGTATAACGTATGTACAAACACATGATAACTTTGATCTATGAAAAAAAGTTGTTGAAAACATACTCCGGTAGGATCTGTGTAAATAACATGGTAATATAGGCTCCTGGACCTGATAACTTAGGTACAAACACCACAATAACTTTGACCAGTGAAATTTTTTGTAGAAAACATACTCTGATAACTTTTTTTGTGTAAATAGCGTGATAATTTAGACTCTCGGTCCTAATAACGTAGGTACAAACACCATGATAACTTTGACCCGTGACTTTTTTTTGTTGAAAACATACTCTGGTTGGATCTTTGTAAATAATATGGTAATATACGCCTAGCAGTGCTGATAACTTATTTATACAGATGTTGAAATATACGTCGGTAATTTCTGTGTAAATAAAATGGTAGTTTTTGAATGACAAACATCATAACTTACGTTCAAAAATCATGGTATCTTAGACATTAACATTTTAAGAACATGATATTTTAGCATGATTAGCCTGATAAGTTTGGTGTGAATTACCTGATAAATTTAGCACGGTTGGCCTGGTACATCTAGCATGAGCAGTCTTGCTTCAGTTAACTCAAACATAGTTATATGTATAAAAATTAGATTAGATGTCAAACGGCAAATATGCATATAGGATTCGTTAGTCTAGTTGGTTGTCAGAGATAGCTTTGAAAGGGGATGTCTTACGTTCAATTCCTGCTTTTTACACATTTTTTTCCAATGGAGAAGAAACTAGAGGAGGAAAAAAAACAGAAAACGTGCGCCGGTGGGTTTAGCGATCACGAAGGATTAGTGATCGAGCGGGGGGATGAGAAGAAAAAACAGAAAATGTACGCTTGTGGCCTCGTGGGATACGATCAAGCAAGTGGACTTAGCGATGGTGGGAAAGATCGTTTGGATCTATCCTTATAAACCAAAGGACGTCGGTAACTGCCACACGTGTAGCAGGAAAAGAGACGCACCACACGTCTCTAATACAAATAGATTGCCACGCGAATCTTTTTGGATTTTCAGTTTTTAAAATGTTTTATCTCATAAATGAAAAATCCGATTAAAGATCCGTTTTCACCGTTAAATCCCTCGCGACGAGATCTTCAAAACTAGATCTCATATCGATATATTTCGGTGAAATTTTTTTTTGGTTAAAAGTTGTCATGTCTATTGTACATGAATTGCCATGATATTTACACTGAAGTTGCCATGATATGTTTCAACTATTTCCTTTTACATTTAAAAGTAAATTTTAACATATTATAAAACAGAGAATTAAAAAACTAGACCTGCCATGCACCATAAAATAAAATTGCCATGATACATGCACTTAAAATTGACATGGTTTAATAAAAAAATATTTTCATGGTCAAAGTATTGGAATTGCCATCATCAAAAAACTAAAGTTGCCATGATCTACAAACTAGAATTGCCACATGGCAACTTTAGTTTAAGCACTATGGCAACTATAATGTAAACATCATGGCAACTTCTGGGCAAAAAAAAAAAAATTCGTCAAAACATATCAACATGGGGTCTAGTTTTGAAGATCTCGTCGAGACGGATTTAATGATGAAAATGGATTTTTAGTTCGCTTTTTTATTTAGGAGATAAAATATTTTAAAACCGAAAACCAAAAAGATTTCTGCTGATATCATCTATTCATAAGTGACAAAATGAGTGGTGATGGAGGCGTGTGGGCTATCTGCAAACGCCCACATGTGTGGGCGTTAGTTTTTCCAAAACCGAATATTTGGACATTTTCACGGTCCATTAATATTATACTATCAAATATCAATATCTATACTATCCACGTAATGAAATTTTAATCGATATCCTACCTAATATTAGCGTGCAAAAATCAGCAACGGGCTACGGTTTTCCAGTGAACGGCCGGGAACGCGGCCCTCGAGCCGTGTCTATTTCCGCATTCTGTTTGGGTATCCGGGATTATCTCCCGGCCCATTACACTCCCCCAGATCGAAAAGAAAACACACTATATAATCCAGCAACGTGCGGAAAACATCCAGATCCCGATCTAGCGCACTCCACTCCCCTGAAAAAACAAAACAAACAGTGCGCGCTCCACTCCCCGTCACGCGACCCGGCGACGAACGGCCGCGCCCATCGAGCGCACCGCCGGCGCCCTCCCATCCCCTCTGCCGGGCCTTGTTGCCGGTAAGCTCCTCCCGTTCTTCCTCTTCCGTTCCGTCTCCGGCATCGCATTCCTTTTTGTGGTAGAGCTTGGTGAGGTTGAGCGCTTGGATACCAGTGAGCGAGGCAGGCGCCAGAGGGGGCTTGGTAATTAGCAGGGGCTGGAGAGGAGTTGTTAGTTTAGTTCCTGGCTAATGGCTATGGTTTTAGGAATCTTATCCTCGGGTGAGGAGTTGTGGGTGTGTGGATCGAGTACTCTTCGTGGGTTTCTGCTTCCCTGGCCTCACTGTTGTGGGAATTTTCTCGTCTCCCTGCCTGACCCTCTGACGAAGCAACTTCTTGCGGCGTGCACCAATTCATCCCTGCAAAACTGATCTGTACAGTACATTGTTCCATATATATGTAGGCAAAAATGAAGAAAATACGTAGAACTGGAATTTTCTCCTTCTCTGCAATTATGACTTGCCAAGTTGTCATAAGCTTTCGGAGTTCTGCTCCATCCTTTTATAAGAATGTAATAATGCGAAGAAAAAATTGTTGCGGCTTAGATCAATGCAGCTTTTGCCACGGTGGAGATTTTTTGCCACCTATGCATTACTACTCGAATCCTTAAAAACTGCTGTAATTTGCTGCGACTACAATGGGGACAACCTTTTCTGGATCGCTTGAGATGCTGTCACTGTCATCAGCTTCAACCACAGGTACTACACATAACGATGAAGGCATCATTCTCTGTCACCCGAAGGTGTCAGCACATGTGCTCGTGTCTGAATTATTTAGTTGTAATTATTCTTCATGATGTACTGCTAGCAATCTCAATTGATCTACTTGGCCAGTACTCGGTATTTCCTATGCATGCTCGAGTAGCCAACTAACCACACATACCTCCTCTCTGCCCTTTCAACCTGCAAACCACTAAACCACTCTTCCGTTAGTAGTGCTGTGCAACGTCTCCCTGCGACAAGCCAATGATGGCCAGAGCTGCACTTCTTCCTGTTGCGTTGCTGCTGTGCCTTGCACTGGCCGGCAATGTTAATGCTACACGGAAGTCAACGGCCGGATTCTATGAACTCAAGAACAAGAAGGGCGATTTCTCCATCAAGGTCACCAACTGGGGCGCTGCCCTCGTGTCTGCCATTGTCCCTGATGGCAAAGGTATGGCTACTTTTTTCTTGTCTCCAAGAGCCCGTATGCTTGTTTGCGTCTTGTTGCTCATGAGGTGAAACCTTTTTCTTTTATGTAGGGAACTTGGCTGATGTTGTCCTTGGGTATGACACTGTTGCTGAATATGTTGTAAGTTCATGAGTTACTCTGTTTTCACTGTTTGAGTATATATTGCTCTACTCTTTTCGCTTCTATGTTTATTGAGTGGTGATATGTAACACACACAAACACACACACTGCTTCATGAGAAAAAAAGTATTACGGAGGCGGAAAAGGTAGGAGGAAAGTTTCTCCTGGACGTGATATGTGTTGAAATATGCAATGCAGCTTTAACTATGTATTTATGTTACATGCATGATCCAAAGTTCCAAACACATCTAAATTCAAAATCACTGTTTTGTGTGCTTGTCTCTTCATCAGAATGGCTCTGCTTCATTCGGAGCGACGGTTGGGCGCGTAGCCAACAGAATCGCCAACACCCGCTTTGTTCTTGACGGGAAAACCTATCACCTCCTCCGTAACGACGGCAACAACACGATTCACGGCATGCTTCATACTTCACTTTGATTTATTTTTCTAAACTCCATGCATAACGATATGATAAGATTGATAAGTTTGATCCCCATCATCTTGCTGCTTGTTTAGGAGGCCCCAAGGGGTTCGGCAAGGTCATTTGGACGGTGAAGGAGCATGTGAGCCATGGTGACTCCCCATACATCACCTTCTACTACCACAGCTTGGATGGAGAGCAAGGTAACTAAAATGAAGTAAAATTGCCAACCTTTTGCTCATTGATTAATCTTATGAGACCATGGTATGGAATTTGGTGAATCCAAGAAATAAATTTTGGAAAGCCCTCCCAAATTTGCTGAAAAATGCATCCTATACGGTTTAGGCGTCCCTTAGTGAACATCCTCTGTTGATAAGGGGGTCCTATTCCCAAGCGGCTTGCGGCTAAAAGTGTTTGGGTTATGTGTATCTTTCGAAACGGCCACCTCCAAGGAGCCATTTGGGTTGTGCACCAACTTCACAAATGCCTCTCTGTGCGTTCGTTTCCAAGTCAGTAACACCTACAATTGAATAATCTTCTATTTTGGCTAGCAGATGAAAATATCGACATCGACATAGTTTATAATATGCAGCGCAGAAACTTTCAACATAAGCTCATACATTCATAATTTCCCCACAGAACATTAACATATCTCAGTTGATCTTCATATCCCAGAATATATCAAGTTTTGTTTTCTTAGTTGTGTTGCCTCCATGCGTTCTTTGCTACAGGAGCATTCTTTGTTATAGAGAGCTTCAAGCATTTAACAAAATAACAGAACTAATCACGCTGGTAAACAATTAACCAAATTAGTGAAAACAAAATTGGAATGAAGCATATATAAATAAGACACAATGATTAACAGATCGGCTAGGGGATCAACCTGAACTAGGGTGCAAATCGACTACGGCAAATGCACACATGTCTGCTTGGGCTAAGCTCGAGGCCGGTGCATATTGTGCCGACGTCTCCTCCTGGGGGGCACTGTGGCTCCTCAGGTGAGACCAGCCGGGCACTGCCACTGCTTGGTATTGAGGGGTTTCGGGTTTGCGCTGAGGAGACGGCGTGCCTCCGGCATCCGCGTAACTGTAGCCGGTTGGAGTGCCACCTGCATGCCACAACCCAACTCTACATGACACCGCGCCCTCCGAGTAACTAACGCTAGCCGCTTCCATAGCCAGCCCTGATCTAGACGAGGATGACTGATGATACTGCATCACGCCGTGACAGTTTGGGACGAGCTTTTGATTTTTGTCATTTCTGTATTAACGTACGTTGAGTCGCAACTGTACTATAGGGCTGATTTGCACTTGTTTCTAAGGACAATCATGTTTGGGCAATGCAGGATTCCCAGGTGCTCTCGACGTGTACGTGAAGTACCAGCTCTCCCGCCCGTACGACCTGAGCATCCGCATGAACGTGACTGCGAGGAACAAGGCGACGCCGGTGAACCTCGCGAACCACGCGTACTGGAACCTGGCCGGTCACGGCAGCGGCGACATCCTCAAGCACGAGCTCCAGATGTTCGCCTCACACTACACGCCCGTCGACTCATCCATGATACCGACGGGCCAGGTCGCGCCCGTGGCCGGCACGATGTACGACTTCGGCAGGCGGATCCCCGTGGGCACCAACATGAAGATCGTCCCGGGCGGCGGCGGCGGGTACGACATGAACTACGCCGTGGACGGGCAGCACGGGCAGCAGAACGCGATGCGGCCGGTGGCGCGCGTCCGGGACCCCAAGTCCGGGCGGGCGTTCGAGCTGTGGGCGAACCAGCCCGGGGTGCAGTTCTACACCGCCAGCTGGCTCATCAACGAGAAGGGGAAGGCCGGGAAGGTGTACGGGCAGTACGGCGCGCTGTGCCTGGAGACGCAGGCGTACCCCGACGCCGTCAACCACCCCAACTTCCCGTCGTCCATCGTGAGGCCCGGCCAGGTTTACAAGCACGACATGGTCTTCAGGTTCTCCTACCAGGCTACCTACGACGCGTGAGACGTAGTGCTTGATCATCCGTCGTTTCTTGTGGACTGCCGTAACATGTTGGTAGCTTGTGTAATAAGGTGTGGCATTGGGACGAAGACATGAGGTTGCTGTCATTTGACTGCGTAATAAAATGCCGCTTCAACTGGAGTATTGTGCCGAATGCTTTTGGCAACTTATGATCGTGCAAAGTGGATCGCATATTCATATGGAAAACTCAGTCAGTCTGTTGTGCAAGTATCTTCAAACGATCTATGACTAATCAACTTGTTAGTTCCATTCAGTGCCTCCTCTTTCTTCTGTCTTTAACGTATAAACCAGTAATCTGCTCTTGTTTTTTGGTTGAGAGGGCGATAGTGTACTGGTTTGCTCGTGGGTTGAGGCCAAATACTGGGCATCGTGGAGGCCCGGGGGATGGGCAGGCCAGCGCCTGCTTCCTTACTCGGTCATCCTGGTTGGGCGTGGCGCTAGGCACTATGAAACAAGCACAAAATATAATCGAGAGAATTGATCGCGCCTTCTTTAGGCCTAGTTCTTTGAGCTTTTGATTCTTCAGAATCAGATTCTGCAAACTGCGCACGGAATATGCTGTCCGGTTCTTTTCTGATATTGCAGTTTGAGATTATGTGATAAGCTGTGTTCTGAAATGTTTGTAATATCCCTAAACTGAAAATGTGTGTTGAATTGATAAGGGCATCTCCAATGCTAACCCGTAAATTTGCTCCGGCATCCGTCTGCGGACACCGATGGAGCGGCCATCCAACACTGCCCGCATATATTTCAAAAACTTTTCAATAACAGGACGAGATACATACAAACACGGCGGATTTTCATATAAATCTGACGAGATTCATGCAAGCACGGCGGATTTTTATTACGTTTCGAACATTTAGGACAAAAAAAAAGAAACCAGGCCCTAAACCTATCCTACGGCGACGACCGTCGTCCACTTTCTTTGTATTCCGCATCAGTGACCGCACCCTCTATCTGCCATCTCCATGAACGGTGACAGGGTTCAAGACGTGTGAAGTGAAGGTGCGGTCTCCGGTGATGAAGAGTAGAACATGAGAGACGGACCGGCCCACTTGGGACATCATGCCATGCCGCCTCTATCTGCCATCTCCATGAACGGTGACAGGGTTCAAGACGTGTGAAGTGAAGGTGCGGTCTCCGGTGATGAAGAGTAGAACATGAGAGACGGACCGACCCACTTGGGACATCATGTCATGCCGCCTCTCATGCCCTACTCATTCTCGAAGGAGTCCGCGACCTATCTGTCGCCGGCGCCGGTGGACGTGAGGTCGATGATGGGCGTGGACGGTCACTGTCCACATGCCACATGCGCCCCCGAAAGTTGGACGGAGGCATGTAGAATGTGCAGCTGGCGGTCGCGTCCACGTCCGGCTGCTTCAGAACTTTGTTGCGAGCGGCATGTGTGGCCTCGTAGAGCGTGCTTTGCTTCGCAACGAAGTTCGGGTTCGCCGTCGCTGTGGCGGTCATGGCCTACTTGCTTGTGCGCTCACCGTAGATTTGTCCCTCCGCTAGCCGGTGCTGCTCGAGGAGGAAAAGGTTGTACCTTTGCTTGACCCGCGCCTGCTGAAACACCGATATAGGAGCCGTTGCAGGCTGCTCCTTGTCCGCCATGACGGCATCGTAATTCGCATGGACCTGCTCCATGGTCAGACCGGCATGCACGGGCGCGGGGTCTGGCGCCGTGTCATCGTCAGAGCCCGTGGGGTCATCGTCGGAGACATCAGGCGAGCTGGTCGGCATGCCCTGCTCGATCCGCCTGGCACGACGGGACTGCTAAGCAGCTGCAAGGGCGGCCACCTCGTGCTTATTCTCCGGTGATAGACTGTTCCACAGAGCATTCCTACTCGCGATCATGTCGGTGTGGAGCAAAGGAGAAGGATGTGTTGTGATGTGGAGTTAGCCGGGTGTGGCCGCTTTTAAATAGCGGATTCTGGTGAGGCCAAGCATCCGGGTGCGTCAGTGCGTGGTTTCGGAGTTGGTTCCTTGGCTGACAAGCCTGCTTAATGGAGGCATATGGACGGATGGGCACTGAACACACCGGGGATGCGGCGCGGGTGTCTCCCTCGGCCGGTGCTACACTTTAATGCCGGCGCCAATGAGAGGTCACGTCCGCTCTTGGCCGGCGCAACGTCATGAATGTGGGAAGCTAGTGCCAGGTGGGAATGCACGCAGGCGATGGAGGAGGGTTTTGGGTGGACCAGGATGGTCAGACGAGGGCAAGGAAGCGGTCCAAACGCCCGCAAAGCCCCCCCGCCCCCATTTTATCTCTTTTTTGCGGAAAATCCTGTCCGAACCACCGAGCGGACCGATATAGGTCCGCGTTGGATGGCACAACACGTCCGGGCCGCGTGGTCCGGACGTATGCGAGCGGTTTGAGGGTCAGCATTGGAGATGCCCTAACACTTCATTGTTTCGAACAATTTCTCGTCGAAGATGAGATGAAAATAGTTTATGAATATCATAGAGTGCTAAATATTACAGCAAATAAGGTTTAAAAGTTTCCTTTGCTACAAAAGGGGGTCAACTACAAATAGAATGCATGTTCTCAAGGTACAAGACTGGTAGCAATAGCCTCACGTGTTATGGTCATGGTACCATCTATTGGGAAATGTAGTAGAAAACAAAAAAAATCGTCCTATGATCACCCAAGAACACTATGAAGATGCGATAAACGATTTGGATCAGATCGTCACTGACTCCCAGTTGCAGTGGAAGATGACAAGTCGGTGTAGATCGTACTTAGAGTCTCTCAAACCGTAGATGAACGATCCACGAACTGCCCACGAACAGTCCCTCGAACGGAGGACCGAAAGCACAGCCTCTCCATAGATTGCAAGCGTACGGTCTTCACGATCAGGCAACGCTTCACCGTCCAGATCTAATCGTCATCGGAGAATTAGATGGAGGAGATTAGAACCACATTGGGCTTCTAATTATGAGGATTAGATGAACTAGATCTAACTCTAATTGGAACAACTAGAACTATTATCCAAAAGGCAGAGTAAGGTCGTCCTAACTTTTATCTGTCATCCTACCACCACATCCAAAAGAGGGTGTAATCCTATACCTCAAGTTGACCATCAGCATGAGAGGTTAGCATATATTGACTCATCAAAATATACAGGCCAACAACAGTTTTCATCATCAGCATGAGGGGTTAGCATATACCAACTTATCAAAGTATACATGCCAACAACAATTTTCAAACCCTAGCTACCAAAAAATGTACATCATCATCGTCGATCATCATGCACGTCGTCACCACCACCAGAAGCAATAGTAGTAGTAGTGCTTGATCAGCTAGGTCCTAAGCCAGAGTATCCTATGGGCGTCCCCAACGAACCCAACACCATGTGCCATGTTATCCAACAGGTGACTAGAGCAGCCATCAGAGCTTCCGCGCTGAAGCTACCTTGCTCCATGATGACGATGTACAAGTCAGGGTGTACGTCGACAGGCTTGCTCTCCCTAATGGCGTCACCACCTCGGTGACATTATCATTCATGCTGCTAAATACACTCAACTCCTCCATCAAGCCACCCCTCTTCCTCTTCCTATCAAGCATAGGAACGCGATCAACAACCCATCAAGGATGATGGTTTCTGACTCTTAGGTGTCCGGATAGTCATGAATAGGCAAACCAAGCAGCTCACTTGAGCCCATGGCATGATTGATGATAGCCAACCCATAGGAGAAGATCCCCTGCATCTGCGAGTAGTTCTGGACGAGTGTGTTGAGGAACTCTACGTCCTTGGGGTGGTCCTAAGAAAGAAAGTGATTGGCATTTTAGACAAGCTTAAACAAGTGGTATGTGAGCTAACTGCGGTGTTGCTTTGGTAGTGCCATGACTCCAACATGATCGTCTAGGTGTCCTGATAACATTGTGCGCCGCTAAGGTCTCTGAGCTTGGATACATTTTTTTGAACCGGGATTTAACCCCTTTCCATTGCAATGAATGGAAATACAGCAGTTCCAGAAACATGTTCAGGAAGAAGGGAAAGGGAAAAGCGAGTTCAAGCACTGCCAGGAAACCCACCACATTCGACCAACCTGAGCTTGGATACATGGATTCATCTGGCTCTCCACTTCCCGATGTGGTTGTAGACCCGGGTCAAGGTGACCTCTTGGCCATAGAACTCGAACACATGTTTGGTAACATAGTTCAAGTCAACCTCCTTGAAGCCCCTGTCAGTTCTCACCCAATTGGCTGTGATCTCACACGGCTTGTTAATCATGAAGGTGGACATGAATAGTTGCTATTCCATCAAGCCCCCCCCCTCCCAGACAGTTTTGTCTTCCCGGCCTTGATGGTTGCCTTATGTGCAGCAACAGAAGAAGCATTAGACACACCCAAGACAACAGAAACATGCTTTACGCCTAGAAGACCTACCGAAGACATCTAAATCCAATGGCATTTGCTCCTCGGTCATAGGTTGGGATTTCTCCACATAGGACGGCAGGAATTGGCTCTCAGACAAGACAATGGCCCGATTAAACTCTTGCCTGCTCATGTCCTACAAGCGTTAGCATCATGACTAGTGAACATGGACATCAAGAAAGACCACTACACATGGACAATAAACATAGTACACATGGATCATGGAATCCTATGACTGATCTTCAAGATCAAAGTGTACCATGGAGTTCAACACGCAACCACACCTACATATCGATCATACTTGCAAACTAGCATACTACACATGCTCTGATTCATAGTTAGTACCACATCTACCATAGTATCGTCCTTGCCGGCATGGAAAACAACATGAACATCATCAAAGCCTACAAGCAAAACCTAGCATGCTACCAAGCCATCACCACTAGCTACCACAACATCACATTCTCACATATTGAAAGTCTAAAATGCTATCCACATGCTCACAGATCTACTCCTACCACATGTTCACATATCTAAGTTAGAATGAGTAAGGAAGAGGGAGTGATCGAATGCCATCGATGAAGCCGAGTGGAGGCACGGA